AAATATTTTACTTTTTTCACATTGTTCTTTACAAATACATTTTCCATCTAAACAAATTTCATTTGATTTACATGTATTATTACATTGATCACATGAATTTGTCTTGCAAATACATTTTCCTTGAATACAATGTTCATGTGAATGACAACCACCACGTTGTATGCCACACATACAAATATCCGATAGACATATTTCACCTTTACCACATTTACCTTGAAAACCACAACTACATGACCAATTATAACAACGTTCACCTATTTCACAAATTTCATAACATGAACGACCATTTTCACATAAACCTAATAATTAGAAATATATAATTAAATTTTTGTCAATAATTAATTAACCTTTAGAACAACCACATCGACCATCAATACATACTTGACCAGGTCGACATGATATTGGACAAGATGACGTTAAATTTGGTTCATTCGTTGTCGTTGTCGTTGTCCATTTATCACCAATATTCGACCAAGCACATTCTCCATCAATACACTCTTCATCATCATCACATGGTGGATCACAACTTTGAAAATTTATTTTGATCTTTTGTCGTAAACAAACACCTGTGGTTTTGTTACATAGTTCACAATCTGATGTACATGGATTATCTTTTTTTTTTTTAAATATTATTAATTTTTTTGTTTTGTATTTGAATGCTTAATAAATATATAACTTACATTTACAAATCGGTGGTAATGGATACCATTCAGATGGTACCATACAATAACTACGACTAGTACCAATCATTTCATAAGCATAATTACATTTATATTCAACAAATGAACCAACTTCATAATCAGATACATGATATAGTCCACCATGAATTGATGCAGGTTCCGAACATCCTAATCAATAATTATTTCTTATTGATTGATTAATCAAATAAGAAAAAAAACTGTTAGTACAATCCATGTGGAATTGAAAAACGTGAAATACGATGTACACGCTATTGTTAATCATAGGAAGATTATTGTGTGACACATTTCTTCACTATCGTTTCTACTTAATTATCCAGAAATGTAATAAGGAAGTAGTTCATTTATTATAATGAGACGTTATTGATATATAGTGGTGCTCAAAATTGAATCACAATATTGTACTTCATATTTCATTTTTTAAACGGAACAATACATTTAAAAAATGTTTTAAAGAAGTTTTATTTGTTTTTTTTAGTCAAACTATTATAGAAAAAGAAATGCAACTTCTCGTTTAAAAAGAATAAAATACAAAATTTTTAATTGTAATATAACAATCGCAATTCTATATGTTTTGAGAAATTAGAAAAATTGTTAGCACAAATTCTACAAGCTTCAAATGTTAAACATGATGAAGTTGCTCATATTGTAAAACACGGGATTAATCAATCTATGTTTCCAATTTATGAATTCCTACCTACTATTAATGCATGTCGATGATAAAAGACACTAATCGCAATATATTGCACAGAGAGTATGAAAGAAAAGTAAGCGACAAGAATCATACTAATCCTGCAGTGGAGTTTGATCTTGCAGTTATATCTATCATGATCTATGTCAGAGATGGAGTTGATTCGTATTTTTAAAATTGAACTGAGTCACAACTTATAGACAAATTAACAAATGTATTACAGTATCAGATTTAGATAGGATGGGTTCGCAATTATTTAGAACTGAACCGATTCAATTTCTGGACAGTATTGATTTCTTCGTGATGTCTGTAATGGTCCATTAATGATATCGTTCATATCTGTCTTTTAGATCATATTTCATAAAAAGAATCTTACCAGAACAGAATAATGAACTTTTTAATTTATTAGTATCAATCCATATTTGATCTGATATTTTTGACCAAGAGAAAATATCTCCATTTTGTTTTCGACAATCACGATAACTAATCAATACTTTTTGTTCTGATATCATTTCATTCCAAATTTCTAATCTTGTTATACGGCCATGAAATGTTTGATTAAATAAAATCAATGATGAAATATCTAATTAAATTTTTGAAAAAAAAAACAAAAACAAATCATTTGTACATATTTTTCATTTAGGCTTACTTGCTTTCAAAATTAAATTTCATTATTTTAAAATCAAATGATTGTTGACGTGTACCATCAATATATATATATGATTGTTGAATTTTATTTGAATATATCCATGCAAAATGATTCCATTTTGAATTAGAAATTTTAATCAATGTTGGTTGAATTTGATTTCGAGATAAATGATAAAAAATAAGTCTAATTCAAATAGAAAATTAAAATAAATGAAAAATATTATTATTTTTACTTATTTTGTCGAACAGCAATTTCAAAAAAAGTTTTATTATTTTTTTCTCTTAATGAAATAAGAGAAACATTGTTACCATTTTCAAGATAAAACCAAAATATGATTGTAAATTGTAATGGTTGAACAAATGGTAAGACAATACCTGCATCATTTTTATTAATATTCAATGCAAAATTTGAATAATCTTGTAGAATTAAAGAAAAAAAGCACATAAAAGATAAAAATCAATCGATTACCCTTACCGTGATATTTTTGAATAGTTGTCGTTGTTGTTGTTATTGTTGTTAACAATTGAGTTGAATTTGTACTTGTAATTGGACGTACTGTTGTTTCATTATTAACTAAAATAAATTAAATCTTCTTTTTTTTCATTTGTCCTTTTTTATTTTCTTACCAATACAAAATTGTTCATAACCTGACCATACACCTAAAATTAAACATTGTCGTGTATGTGGTCCAATTAATTGATAACCAATTTCACGACATTTTGCTTGACATTTTGTACCAATTTTAAAATCACTACTATTCTGTTTAGGTAAACATTCTTGAATCATTTGAGTATTGATTTTTAAATGTGGACAACGAATTTCTATATAATATATCAAATAGAAATTAACTATGAATAGGTGAAATATCATACCTTGACATTTTAGTTGTTGTCCTGTCCAAGTTCCATTTTGTTGACATTCACGAAAACTATCTCCATCAACAAGACGATAGCCAATTAAACATCCAAGACCACATAATGAACCGATTTCTCGTTCACAATAACCCGAAAAGAAAAATCCATGTTGAGGTAATGTTAAAATAGGACATAACTTTGTCTAATATTCAATAAAACAAAAACAAAAAAATATTCCATAAAATAAAATAAAAATATTTAAACCTACACTTGTAGCATCAAGGTTTATTATTTTGAATATGAAAAATATCAATGACAAAAGCATCATATATGAATATTGATATTTAGCTTTTGACAAACAAATTATAGAACAGTATTTGTAGTATATGACAACACCAAGATAAGAGAAAAAAAATATTTCTGTATCATATCTCAACAATGCAAAACGATAGTAATATTTGTTGTTTTTATGTCATTCATTAACCATCTGTTATTGAAGAAATCTAGGCATTTGCTGACAAGACTTAATCATATACAAAATTAGATGTTTTTCTTTAGAACAGAAAAACTATAAGCAAAGTTATTATACATATAGATTTTTCCAATGACTATTAATTCTGTTAATCTAAAAAAAGAAGTTAATTAAGCAAATGAATGATTCTTGAATTAATGAATTTAATAAATAACTAAATGGCATCTGAATTCAGCTCAAAGGTGCAAAACATTCCGAATTTGAATTGATATCTAATCGTTCTGTATTTATTATGGAAATGCATACTCCTTAATTTAATCAGTTCACAGTAGGAATTCGCATGGAAACTATGTCGTGTTTCCACTAAGTCTTTTTTTTTTTGTTTAAATATGATAAATATTCAAATATTGAAAATTTTATTTGATGAGAATGATGTGTAGATCAAAGTATATTTTCCTTAGAATCACCAGGCTACAGATTTATTCTTTTTTTTTGTACAAATTTTTGATAAAGAAAAAACTTTGATATTTTCCATTCTCTCGCTTTTCTTGTACAACGATAACAAACGGTATTAATAGTAGTCTTATATAGAATTCTGTTAATTAAAAAAAAAGATGGAAACAATTGTCCGTTAATGGATTATCGTTAGCGCTAACGATAGTTAATCATTGTAAAGATCAACGCCTAGTCTTGTCTTATTATATTGACATAATGGAAACAAAATTCGTAGATGATTTTACTTTATGTGAACGAAACATTATACCGAAAAGTCGGATAAAATTTGTATCATATAGAGATCTTAACGTCTCTAATGACATTTCAACGAGAATCAGACGATATACCGTGCTCGAGATCATCGCTTCACAAAATATGAACTTGGATATGGAATTCGAAAAACCTGTTCTTTTCGATGACATTATTTTATTGGATTGTTTTCAGAGTTTTAAACACTGCAGTAGTATATAAAGATCTTCCTTGGAGAAGAGAGCGAGCATCCCTCATTTGAAAACTATATGGTTCACGGGCCAAGGCTGTGATGCGAAGCACATCCACGAAACTGAATTCATCGTTTATGAGATTATAAAATTTTCAAGTTGATCGAAAATGTAAGATTTCGAGAAATAATATGCTTCTATTTTTATATAAAGGAGAACAATAAATTCAATATGAATTTAATTATTTTCACCAAAAATCGATTATTAGGAAATAAACTGAGTTTTGCACTTAATAAAAATGTATCTGTACTTCAATAAAAATTTCATGAAATGGCCAGGATGGGCAAGACTATTCGACACTTGACGGCTATGAGTTTGACATTTTTGTGTGGGAATTCAGTCAAAGATGTTCTCTGACCATATGTTATGGGTCAAAATCATGATAAATGATATCTCGGTTCATGGAACATTGGGTTCTCCTCTGTCGAGATTCAAAAAAAAGTTCATTTCATTCTCGTTTTCGATCGGTCAATCACTTTGAAATCACTATCGATTATATTCCATGAGTTCGAAAACGAGCAACTCTCTGCTCATCTCTTTTACAATAAATGTTAGTGTATTATGTGTAACGAAAGATAATTGAATATCAACCTTCATAAAGATAACAACAATAAGAATGAATAGTATCAGGCATTTTTTTATGTCGTGTAATCACAATTAATGGATAGAATTAAAAATGAACTCGTTGAAGTGTAGTATTTTGTTTTGTGACGGAAAAAGGTAGAACGAGAAGGAAATTCTCTACTTTTGTAAATTATAAAGATAAAAGAGCAGATTTATCACTCGGATCTCATTAATGTGATGTTAGTATTCAATTCAATTTTCTCTCGCAGTGTATCTTTCTATTCCATGTTCATCATAAATCTCAGTTTCTCAAATTGCATTCGAGTGTACAATCATACAACTACGTTGTCTTTCAGCATTAAACGAAAAATTCGAAGCATATGCTCAGCCATACAATTTTGATAATAAGTGAACATCTTAATTGATGTATTCATAAATCTAACACATAATGGAAATCTATTATTTTATTGCCGAACTTATTTTATGAGAGTAATAAAAAAAATGTTTTTTTTTTTCGTATAGAAGAAGTTCGAATATCGTGTAACGTTTGCAACAAAGTTGTATTACTGCCATGTCGTTCTATTATGTGTTTTAGAATGATCAGTTGAAAGGAAAGTTGAATATGTTGTCTTGCTAAAATCTACCGCTTACTAGATAAACACTTGGGATTTTCGATATGTTCGTCTTCATTTCATAACTCATTATCCTCAAATAACGAGTGAAGTAGAATAAATGATGATCTCAGTATTTTATTCATAATTTTTTTAATTTTTAACTTATCAAATCATGCTTCTTTTTTTGTAAGATTCTTTGTTCATTTTCTACCGAATGATATATTTCAGTTCACAAAAATCGTCTTCATCATTTTCAAAAAATTGATGAAAGTGTACGAGTCAATGTTATCAACAACTTTCCAAAAAAAAAAGAAAATTTTCTAAACGTTACACATTACTTATCATCTATCTGATTAGTCTGAGTTTTGTTTGAACATAATTCTAGCAGCCTACCTAAGCTGTTCTACTTCGAATATCATTTTTACAGATAGATCAATTACATTGAAATTCACGTGAGTCATACAGTTGTGTAGAGCAAAGAGTTCTCTATCAAGTAAGTTTATAATGATTTATAAATGTCTCGAAGGTAGAAAAAAGACAGTAACCCTTAAATGTGTGGCCACTTCTCATGCCATTTTTAATTCATTGCTAAGCCCATTATTATAAAACAAATCAGCCAGATTATATCCAGTGTGTCAATTAAAGCAAGTGAACTTTTGAACTTGTGAAGTAAAGTGTAGGTTAATTCGTGCATGACTCACAGATCATCTACTGAATCGTTTTTGTTAATGAAAAATTGAAACTACATAATGCTAAGAAACCTAAATATTGGCACGCATTTACAGGGTGTGGGAGGATGTGGATGTGTGTGAATGTTCCTTTTGTCTTTAATCACATACACCCACACCCATAGATTTTGAAGTTTCAATATTTCTTATTATTTATTGAAGTAAGAATATGTACTTGCAAATGATCAGACCAATCTAATGCAATAAAAATGTGGAACATACATAAATTTTCAGTAGAAAATATTTACGAACATAGTGTGTTCTTTACTGAAGAAATTCGGATAGGCGAAATTCCGCCAGCTATTTTGCATTAATGAAAATGATAAATCATAGTTTTATTATTATGATTAAAGTCAAATAGAATAGTTGAAAGTTAAAACATTATAAACTAGATCATAAAAAACCAAAAATTATGAAAAGAAGAGTTCAACAAACGATTTGCTACGAAAATGAAAGTGAGATCAATTATTTCAAAACGGAATATTATTGGCAAATATTATGAACAACCTAAACCAGTTCACGCAATGTAGGTGCGTCTTGCTATCAAGGATCAACTGTACCAATAGAGAAATAGCACTCTCCAAAATAAGAGAAGAGCAGATGTTCTAATTAGTTCCGCTACTTGCTACACATTGGCACTTTGTATCTTTGATAAAAGGACGCACATAATGAGAACACCACCTGTCACTGTTTCCTCCCTCCCCTCCAATAAACAAGAGCGATGTCAGTATCTTGATTCTGCCACTGGAAAGAATAAATTATAGTCAAGAATTTTCTTTGCCCTAAGATGTTATATACAGTATGGCTGCTATTTTTGTTTTCTCGGTTACAGTTTCTTCAAATACAATAACACATTGAGTATGTTCAGATAGAATAAGGATCAAAAGGAACGAGGTTTCAAAGATGATTATTTACACCCTATTATGAACTGCATCTGCTGCATTCATTTTGACATGGTCAATATTCGATTTTCCAGTTGATTTATAACAATAGCCAGTCTGATGAACTATTGTTCCTGAAGGGCAATATACAGGCAAACCTTACGCACAGAGACGATGCGATATTAGACAACAATAGTCATTGCCACAATTGACAGCACATTGTTGACTGTTCACCATATCGAAATGCAAAATAGTCATCACAAGAAGAACAGCAACAATCGTCAATTGGATCCGAAGTTTGAACATGTTGGATGAGTAGTGAGAAATGTGGGTCTAAGGATAAGTCTCACACCCATACCTACACCCGACAAACGATTGCCTAATGATGATTGATTTTTAGCATATTTAGCAGATTCTTAAAGAATCAGTTCACCGATTAAAACATGATCATAATAGAAATAGTGAATGAAAAACATTATGAATTACATAAATTAATATAACAGGTTCATCTCGATCATAAATAATTGAATTCCATCATCTCCGATAGTATAATTTTTGTAACGTATGAAATTAATTTTAATTGTAGATTAAAGTTACGAGTGTGATGTATATGAGCAAAATCAGTGGAAGTGAGGATTCGAAATTTCGCCAATAGTTGGCAATAATCGACTCCAGTAGTTCACTAAGAAAACGCTCGTATGTGACGTCATCACAAAGAAATAAATATAATGAAAATGTGAAAGTTGAAAGTAAAGTAACGAATAACACATTCTAGATCAACAAATGCAGAAGAACAAATCAATAAAACATGTCGTGAAAGCAAAATAACGAAAGGAAACAAACTATGAGAAGGCTAAAGACAACAACCTAAATACGATCAGATAAATAGCTTCACAATGAAAGTGACATGTCTGAATGAAAACTTTCTTTTTTCGTTTTTTCCTCTGCCAAAAGAGGCACTAACAAGATAAGCGAATGATGATACTGTTTCAGCCAGTGATCTTTTGTTTGAAGCCAATAAATTCAGAAGTTTGACGATCCGTTGACTTTTATACGGAAAGGGCTGGTGTGGGTATTCATGAACAGATGTTCACACTCACACTTTACCTGAAGTAGACGTGTTGTGACAGACATTGATTAATCTACAAAATATTTGAATAAAATATACACTAACGGTGGTCGTTAAATCATTTGACTATGGAGTAAAGGTTACTGTGTGTTCACCACATTAGCTAGACCGTAGAAGAGATGGTATGGTAATTGACAAGAGACAATATCATATATTATTAACATTCTCTTCTTAACTAATTGAGAATGAGGTGAAATTTCGCCAATATAGACAAATTTTCACCTGACTTTCACCATTGGCGAAGGTTCGGTTGGTAAAAGTCATATTGACAAGCTTCTGCTACTTGTGAAAATGGTACACGACTATAGTCGATTCGACATTGATTCGTTATTAAAGATTATTTTTTGTTATAAGTTTTCTTTTCCATGAATATATGTAAAAATATTCACTCTTGCATTTCACACCTAAATAGTAAACATTAATTAGAAAATTATTCTGTAACCTTATGACGAACAAGTCCAAGAATTTCAGAATAGACTCTACGCTACAAATTACACCCACGGTGAAATTTTCAGCAAGATTGAAGTTCAAAAAATTGTTTCCCAAAAAATGATTTTTCCAGAGACCTACTCATATTCGAGAACGAAGCTTTTTATTTTACTATTATCTCGAGATCTGCAATAAGGATTTGTACCATTTAGAATTGATTTTTGAATTTTTCATTCAGTTACAAGAGATTTTTTCCTTTCTATATTCATTCTCACTTATGTCACTAACAACCAATAAACTCAGTTTTTAGAATAATCTAAGCATGTTCAAGAAAAACTTTGGGTAATGACTTTGTAACCTGAAGAGTTCTCTACAAAATGCATTATTTTTTTTTTCAAAAATACTATTTGAACATACAGTATTTGTAAATATAAACACGCGCAGTTAAAACCTTTGTTCTTTTTTTGTGTGTCATATTGCTAACGCTAGTTTTTCGATAATAAATCAGCAGAGTAAAGGTTAATAGAGGGATCAGCTTGTCAAAGCATCAAGAGTAACTTATTATACATCTTTTGAATAAAAATTAACTAAAAGAAATTTCCCTGTCTAGAGATATATGAATTTTTATTTTGCGAAATCACGTCTACACATTGTATTCCCAAAAACTAAATAACTTAATATTTTTTTTTAAAATTAGAAGCATAACATGATGCCTATTTTTGAATGATATATATATGGATCGTAAGAAATCATTCCTTAGATCATACGGTTTTGGATATATTTCTGCTGATGTTATTGTATCACTCGATAAAAGTAGAGATATAATAAACAACTATGAATTTCTGTTTAAAGTTTTCCTTGTTCAAATTCTTCATTCGGACACAATTTCTAATGAAAGAAAAACTGATATCTTTGTTGATAAAATATTAAACAATAGAAATATGCAAGTGTTTATTTATTGATTTCGATATAACATATCTCTCTACTAAATGTTTTATATCTTTTTGCAATAAGTTTTGAAAAAAAATATTGTTCAATAAAGTCAATGATAATTCAATGTTTTCTTTTTATTTATTTATTTTTTTTCACTGCCTTACATTTCAAATAAATTTATTATAATATGATAAATAAAAATCTACAATAAAAGTATAACGGGATAACAATTCTATTCTACAAAAAACTCTTCAAACATCTGTTTGTCCATATAATAAATATTCAGTATTATAAGGATCACTATGTTGATCAGTATATTCAAGATGACGAAAAGCATTTAATGGTATAAAAGGTCGTTCATCAATACCATCATTATCATTATAATTATCATAACTTGGTGTACTTTGTGAACCTTCAAGATGACGAAATGCTTCTGTATTAACATATGATCTTGTATCAATTGATGGATCATATGATGAATATATTGTTTTATTTTTTGAATTAGTATTTCGACCTTCAATATATTTAAAAGCATCTGGATCAACATAAGATCGTTGATCAATACCACTTTGAAAATCATCTCTTCGATTTGTAAATTTATGTTCAAGATGATTAAAAGCATTTGGATTTCGTTCAAGTATTAAACTACGTGTATCAATTTCGGGTATAGGAATATCACGTTTTTTTCCTATATGTCGATCAATATAACGAAATGCTTGTGGATTAACATATGAACGTTCATCAATTTCTGGTTCATTATCAACACGACGTTTTGTTTCTTTTCGTTCAATCCATTTGAATGCATCCGGATTAACAATTGGACGATAATCAATCGATGGTTCAGCTGGTTGTGATTTTTTTGTTGTACGTTTTTCAATATATTTAAATGCATCTGGATTAACAATTGGACGATAATCAATTGATGATTCAGCTGGTTCGAATTTTGTTGGTGTACGTTTTTCAATATATTTAAATGCATCTGGATTAATTATTGATGTTGTATCAACACCTGATTGATCATTACGACGAGATGGTGGCTCATTTCTTTCCAAATAACGAAAAGCATTTGGATTAACAATTGGTTCACTATCAATGCCACTTTCCATAGTTTTCGGTAATGGTATATTACGTTTTTCAATATATTTAAATGCATCTGGATCTATAATTGGTCGAGTATCGATTGATGGTTCATCTAATTGTTTTACGAATTTTCCTTGACGTTTAGCATTTAAATATCTTAAATATAGATTAAGTACAATTTGGTTTTATGATTAAAAAAAAAGAAGAAAATAGTTACTTGAATGCATCTGGATCCACAATTGGCCTATCATCAATACCACTAGTAATACCTTGACCTTGTTTTTCAATCTTATTTGTCTTCGCTTCAATATAACGAAAGGCATTAGAATCAATAATTGATCTATCATCAATGCCTTCTTTAGATCCATCATCACCACGTAATCGATTATTCTTTTCTAAGAGTTGCTGTCGTCGTCGTTCTAATTGTGCAACTGCACCAAGATTAATTATAGGTCGTGAATCAATACCACTTTCCATATCATCAGATGTTGTCTTTTTTTTTGATTTTTGTTCATTTAAATTTAAATAATAAAAAGCACGTGGATCAATAATTGGTGAATCATCAATTTCAGCATGAATATTTTTTTTATAAGTATATGTTGGTTTTCCAAAATTAAAAGATTGTGTTCGTGATGGTTGATTTGGATTTATTGTTAATGCAGGATTTACACGACGTATTGGTGTTGAATGAGAAATATTTATTGTTCGAGATTCAGTATATGGTAAAGAATTTGTTGAGCGTTGTTGAACATAAGAAGATTGTGAAATAAAATTATTTTGAGCCATTCGATTACTGTCATGAGGAGTATAATATGTTGTTGTTCCTTGTGGATATTGATAACCACCACCACCACGCATTGAATACATCGTTTTAATACGTTAAGAAATGATGATATGAGAAAAAACAACAGAAGAACAATATTTGATAATAAAAGATTTATACAGGGATGCACTATCCTAGAGTTTTCTCTTCTCTACGTATGGAACTATTTCTTTTCCTCTTTCCTCTTCTGTTATTTACCAAGTAGGCGTCAAATTAGCCTGACTGAGGACACCAAAAATAAGTCAAACAGTGGCTTTCTACTCCTGTATACATCTGCACCATGTTGTTTTGCTTAAAAAAAATAAAGATGTGATAGAAATAGAAGTTCGACATTTTTTTTCCTGTTTAGTATCTACAAGCATCAATCTATCATATACTCGACAGATGCGATATACGATCGAGATCGTTGTTTTGGTTAATATTATACTAAGAAAAGAAACCATTAAAGTTATGTCCCTATTGACAACCATCATAAGTACCATCCTTGTCAATTAACAAAAGTAATTTCGTCGTTAATATAAGAATATATAGATTATCTTTTATGTTTCTGAATATCTAACTTTTCTTTGAATAATATTAAAGTTTCTAGGTTAACTAATGAAATACTATTTGCAAAGTCATTTGCTAAAAAAAACATCCCATAGGCGATAGAATAAAAAATGTCTTAGTAAGTAGACAACCACTGACAGAAAAACAACAAACAAAAAAATATTAATATTGTTTAAATAACAATACATTAGATTTTGTTTTTGCTTCATACAATCCTTAAAATGTATCTGTATGTAAATACAAAAATTATTTTGTTATATAAAGAATTTGCTTTGTAGTTGGTCTTTTTTAAACTATTCTTAATGATATATTTTAAATTTTATTATGATTTCGTATCATCATCTTTTCATGTTTTTATTTTTATAATCAATAAATGATATTTGTGTTTGTGATAGCAACAAATTATATTATCTAATAAAAAATAGAGAATACAAGATTGAATAATATTCCATCGATCGTTGATCATCACTAGCATATGTAATAAGTAATAAACTTTTTGTTGAAAAATTTTGTTTTTGTTTTTTGTTTTCTCTTGTTTTACTAAAAATATCATACATACTATTTATTCCATTTCGTAGATAAATTTTTTTCAATTTTAATTACTACTAAACGATATTCAACGTATTGACATTGAAATAAAAATTATTATATTTTAACAATCGATTTTTTTGTATTGATTTCATCAACTTTCATAATTTAAAAGTAAATATAATTCTATTAGAACAGTAAAAATAGACAGAAAAACATACAACTCAGTGTTTTACATAATGATTGATATTTATTCGATGTTGAAAATCTAGTTTTGATTACAGGGAACTTAGTTTATTCGATCTATTTTGGGAGAAATTTCTTCACCATCCGTTCTCGAGAAATGCAATAAGGAAGTGCTTCATTTATTATAACAAGATGTTATTAATATACGGTCTTTGATTGCATATCAACAACGTTTGTCACTGTCTGTGAGGGAAGAATGATGCAGATTTCTATCTTATATAATTCAACAATTCTTTTAGAATTGTGTTTCACAAAAAATATAAATGATAAATTTTACATAGGATATAAAAGTTCTACGATTCTTGAAAACTCACTTCTTTGTTAATAAATGTCTTTGGTTGAATAATTATACAACTGTTACGCAAAAGAAAAAAAGAAAATTTTATCAACTAATTTATCACATGATATTTATGTGTTTTCACATTCTTGTTTTTTTTTCAATAAAACTGTGAAGAAATCGATTAGTAGTAATAATTGTAAAAATGTGTTAATTTTATGAACATAGTGATAGTATGCATAATTTTAGTTTGTTTTCTTGTTTTTTGTATTTGGAAAGCCAAATTTTCCGTCAGAATAGTTCGAGGTATCTCTAAATGAATTAGAAAGGGGCCAATGCTCTTTAGATGCCCTCAGAATGTTTTTCTATCTGTAGTATTATCATGTGATGTCAACCAACATTTATTATCTTGCTTGATGGCAACCATCAAGTCAACACTTCGTAAAAAACACAACCTAATTTCTGACAATCTACAAGATATTATTTTTTACATAATAAAATACATTAGAATTCTAGTGTCACTATAACTGATGCTGATTATCTAATTACTAATTTATAGGCATACAATTTCGATATTGGCTGTTCATTTCAGTAGATGACATTTCGTGTTCCAAATTGTAACTAATCATTTTCACTACAACAATATGAGATAAAGTTTATTTTAATGAATTTTTAGTGCGTATTTTTAAATTAATAGCAAATCATATTAAATATTTCTTGATATTGTTAACATCATAAGACAGTTCGATTCTTTTCAATCGTACATCAAAATTCGCGTAAACTCTTCTCTAGTTATTTACCTGCACGAAATTGTTCAATATCAATCTCAAATCTAAATTATTCACGTTAGATACATTTAATAAGTTTAGTAGTAAGAAGAATATCTGATGGATACATAGTTGTTGAATACATGATACTATCCATCGATGGCATTATTTGATCGTGGCAAGTGTTATATAATCTGCTTGTAGACATTCCTTATCATATCCTCAAATCATGATAATTCATTAATCACAACGATAAGTATTTGGTATAATTCCTATTTTTGAATAATTATAGAGATTGATCTTTGTAAAGTTATGAAATGACATATGACGAGGATGCAAAGTAGAAGCATTGATTCCGATATCTTGATAAATATAAATTAGAGATAGGTACGATTAGGTTTTCTCAGCTAAATTGATGTAGTTTAGATTAGTATTTTAATATGTAAAAAATTATTCAACAAGATTTATTTTCTACTGTCGTCAGTGCTAGAAAAAAATCCAAATAGCAATTCGAATAAACAGAATGAATAAGGAAATAAAAATTATTGTCAGATTCCCAAAGATTGGAACTTTAGAAAGCCAAAATCTAGAACGTGTAAATATAATTGTGTTTACAGTATATACAATGACAAAACAAATAGTTTTCTACAAAATGAGACGTCTCCAAGCTCTCAGCTATGTGTTTTACTTGAGACACAGCAATTTGATTCGAGGTTAAAAAGTGACTTTTCTATAGGAAAAAAACGACTTTAGATGCCCTCTGTAAGATTGTTGTATCTCAGCTAAAAAATGCCGCAAAAAACTCGAAGACGTCTCATTTTGTAGAAAATTATTTTGTCTATTGTTCTATTTTACGCGTTCTAAGTTCTGAAAAATTAGGATCTTGGTTTGCTGCGGTTGCTATCTTTGGGAATCTCATAATAATTTTTATTTTCTTATATTCGTTTTGGGAACAACTATCTCTAATTGAATCACTATTCAGATGCTTTCTACCACTTACAGCAGCAGAAAATAAACTTTGTTGAATAATTTTGCTAGCCATTGTATATATACATAATAACCTGTCCCTACACCTTGTAATAGAAAATCCTATGTATATTATTATGTCAAAAGGGATAGATTTTTTTTAAAGGCAGTCCTCTATCAGTTTCCTTCTTTTTGAAAGACTAATAATTGGAACGTTTTTCAAGAAAATCACGACAGTTCCGAGCATTCAAAAGATTTTCTATGATTAAAAAGATTTTTATATCATTTTATTGCAATATATTAGTTAATTAAGAGAGAATCTTCTATTATCGTAAGATGTTTTGATATCAACAGTATTTTATCCTCATAGCAGAAATTTAGATGACAATCATTCTATACATAACGAACGAGTTGAATTAAAAATAGGAATGTACAATGTCAGTAAACTGTTCACTGAAAATTCATATTGAATCAGTGTTCATCGATTTATCTAGCACATTCATACTGTAAGGACATGTCAATGCTTAAGTGAACACCAATCCAGTTCAGTCAGCATGTCAGTTAGAGACCTGCGGACTTAAAC